GCAATGCAACAATTAATGACTAAAATCCTTGAAATAGAAAAATAAAACATATGTTCAGTAAGATTTATGTTTTTGAAAGAAGTCTCTTATGCTCACAAGATTTTTTGTAAATATTGTAATTATTAAAATTTAAAATAACTTTTCTATTAATAATTTAATTAGAAATTGTTTTCTATTTTTTTTTTTTATGTTTTTTTTTCTGAGAGACCAAAGTGGCATTTTGCTCAAGAAACTTTTCTTATAATCAATGTTGAAGACAAATATTTTTGTGGAAACCGTAATACTTTTTTTTCAGGATTCAAACAGGATTTCAGGATTCAAAAAGAAAGTTCAAAAGAACAGCATTTTATATGAACTATAATACTTCTGTGACATTATATATGTTGTTACTGTCACTTCTGATCAATTTGATGCATTTTTACAAAATAAAAAATATGAATAAAAAATAATTATAATAAAAAAAATGTAAATTCATTAAACATGAAAGTAAAAAAAGCATATATATGAACAGCTGTTGTATGCAAATCCCCTTTTAGTGTCCATGGAAAAATAAAAAAACATGATGATCAAAAATAAAACTAATTTTGGGGTTTAAATATTAATTTAAAGTTCATTCATTTAAAGACTAAGTACATAAACATTTACAGTCACACATCCATTCATGTTCATCATGCCATATGACTATTTCCACCTTGATATCATATATAGCTCTTATTGTTATTATCGTAAAACCTGTTCACATGAGATCTGCATCAAACATTTTAAGAGGCTTTCAAATGCCATTTGTTTAATCATTTATTTATTTATGTTTTATTTATATGACAGTGATGGCTAATTTCAATTTAACTCAATTTTACTATGGTATTTTGGTGTAAAACACGGCTACAGTACAGGTGGTACAGTATTTTTGTAGGCAACAACCACAAGGCCACAAGTCTAAAAAGACGCCACACATAACACTGAAGTTCACAAAACCAAGACAACTGAGACACGTTTTTTTCTCCTTTTTCGCATCATCTTGAAGACAGAGATTATCTTGGAAGCGCTTGAACGATCAGTGACAAGAGAGAAAGTGTACTTTAACGAGTCCATGCGACGCTGCCACACTGATTGTCTGCTTTTAATCCTCGACCTCATTATCACCCTCTGGTCTTACTCCAGCAGTAAATTAATCTATCTGCAAAGTGTCAAATCTTCTCACCTTCCTCCTGGTAATCACCCGAGGTGCAAATAAAACCAGGGAGCCGGGTTCGCTCAAGACCCCGCGTCCGTTATCAACAAGATGATGCCGTGTTATAATTAAAAACCAATTGGCCATTGTTGGGTTGCTCATTAAGCCGATCAAATATTTGTGTCCTCACTAAGGTCAATGCAATGACATACAATAACAGGAAAAAACATTAGAGATTGGAAAAGTTGCACAGAGAAAACAGCCAAAAAGTCATTAAAAATATGCTAATTTTAAAGCTACACCATTTTAAGAAAGAAAGGACTGTACAAAGTAACAAACAAAGCACAGTCAAAAAACAAGTTAAACTGTCAACACTGATACCTTTCTTAAAGCTTAAAACAATAGTTCATTCAAAAAAATGAAAGTTTGCAGAAAATGTACTCACCATGAAACTATCTGAGATTAGTTTATTTCTTCATTGGAACAGATTTGGAGGAATTTAGCATTCTAGCACTTGCTCATCAATGGATCCCCTGCAGTGAATGGGTGCCGTCAGAATGAGAGTCCAAACAGCTGATAGAAACATCACAATAATCCACAAGTAACTCATACGACTCCAGTTCATTAATTAACTTGTTGTGAAAAGCTGTGTGTTTGTAATAAACAAATCCATCATTAAGCCCTTTTTGCTTCTGGCTAAAATACAAGTCCTCTATCCATAATATTGCTTTCTCCAGTGAAAAAGTCTGAATCAGGTTAGAAATATGCACAGATCAAGCACGGTTTACAAGTGAAAACAGTCCAAAACACTTCTAAACAAATATAAAAGGATATATAAAGGATAAGAGATGATGGACTTTTTTAATAGAGGAAGCATCATGCATTATGGACTGTTATTTTAGAATAGTAGCAATGGAAGCAATGGCTTCAATCATTTTTTTTTTATTACAAACAAACAACTTTTCACTTCACAAGATGGAGTGGAGTCACGTGGATTACTTGTGGATTATTGTGATGTTTTTATCAGCTGTTTGAACTCTCATTCTGACGGCACCCATTCACTGTAGAGGATCTGTTGGTGAGCAAGTGAAATAAAGCTACATTTCTCTGAATCTGTAATGATTTAATTCCATTAAAGGGGTCATATGATGTTGCTAAAAAGAACATAATTTTGTGTATTTGGTGTAATGAAATGTGTTTATGCGGTTTAAGGTTAAAAAAACACATACATGATTGTTTCTTCTCTATGCCCCCACTTTCTGAAACGCATCGATTTTTACAAAGCTTATCGGTCTGAAAAGCGAGGTGTGCTCTGATTGGTCAGCTATCCAGTGTGTTGTGATTGGCCGAATACCTCAAGCATGTGACGGAAATGTTACGCCCCTTACCATATTGTGATGCCTTGTCCGGTCCCGGCATGACGAGACAAAAACATTCAAACCCATTATAAACGAGGCATTTATTGCATCCAGTGTGGACATATTTACGGATTATAATGACTTATACTGTCTTTTTACAAGTTGCGTTGCATCGCGCCGAGTAAACATAAAACCATGTCTGCATTTGTGATCGCAAAGTTGATGTATTTCCTCAGCGACCAGCACGGATCAGCTCCAGGCATGACGAAGCGGATATCGTCCTCTTCGTCATGGAAAAATTGCAGAAATCTAGTAACACTCCAAGAGAAAGTGAAAATTGCAGAAATCGCATCACATGACCCCTTTAATTGTGCCCAAACGTGTAATTGTGCTCAAATTATTTCAATTTCTTAATTCATGATGGCAGTGTAATTCGTTAACACATTAACACACTATTTATCTGATAGAATTCTGAAAATCATGCAAAATGCATCTTTAAAAGCACCATATCAAACTGCAAAAGGCCCTGCTTCACAGAACGACCCCTGGGTTAAGATATGGCAGTGTTAAAACAAAAACCCTCCACTACCATTAACTGTAAGCGAGATATGCATGGCCTTCGCTTCACTAATATGATGATTTATTAAAACAGCTATATATTTGTAAAAGATAAAGGTTCCTAGAAAAATCCAACAAAAAAAATCTGCAATACCTTTCTACTTCATACATTATTGAGGAAGAAAAGATACTATGTAATAGAAAGATCTAAACCCATTCTCTCATGTGAATTATTTATCAAACTCAAATAACAGATGGTATAATTTTCTTAAAATATCTTAATCATTATTCAAAAGACACAGTTGTATAAAACAGTTCCTGTACACATGCTTTTGTGTGATCAGAATACGGTTTGATTCTTTATACGTCCCACATGGATCTGAATCAACATCAACACAGTCCTATAAACAAAGGCATTTGCGTCTTCTGACTTCTAACCAATCCTTAATTCCTGAAATTAAAATGTTATCTGCTCACCAGGTTTGAAATATAGGACCGCACGTAGAAAGTATAATTATCATTTGATTATTAAAAGACTCTCCTGAAGGTCTTGTGTCATCACGGTGATGGAAAAATGATGTCAAACTACCCAAGCAAATTCAATTACCCAACCAATTTCTCGGCTGCGCTCGTACTGACTTATTGGGACATTAAATATTAATGGGAGCATAGATATCAAATTTGCTCATCATTAGAAGGTGCACACATTGTGGGCTAATCACAGATGTTCCACATCACTCAGATCCTTTCAGCAAAGAATTAAACACTCCAGCACAAAGGAGCACCTACATCTGTTGCTCAACTATTCATAAAAGTCCTAAAAGAACAGGATTTTATTAAGTAAATTATTTTTGTAAATACATACATGAGTAAACTTGGGTCACAATGTTGCTCCAATAGCAATATACAATAAAGTAAAGGTGAAGTGTATAATTTCTGTGACACTGGCAGGACTAAATGCAAATGCAAAATAAGGAATATTTCCAAACAGGTTTCCTGGACATCTATTGGTCAGACAAATAGAAAGTCCCGCCCCAAACTCACGCCATTGGTTGGAGTCATGGAGTCAATGTTGTTATGTCAGGTCAATGTTTTAAAAGCACCACAGAGCCACAGTGTTTAGACTTCAGGAAAACCAACCTATAAATACCTTATTTATATAGCTGCATCTGAATATTAAGCCTTTAAAAACATCTATGATTGGAAAACAATATATATAATATTCATATTATGAGTGATCAATATGGGCTTTTAAAATAGTTTTTAAAACAGTGTTATAGTATTGAGTACATGTACAGTAAATGAACATACTGTCCAGAAGGCCAGCAATTCACTAAAAATGGTTTTTTTATTGGTCTTATGAAGTATTCTTATGAAGTATTCTAATTTGTTGAGATAGTGAATTGGTGGGTTTTTGTTAAATGTGAGCCAAAATCATCACAATTAAAAGAACCAAAGACTTAAACTACTTCAGTCTGTGTGCACTGAATTTATTTAATACACGAGTTTCACAATTTGAGTTGAATTACTGAAATAAATGAACTTTTCCACGACATTCTAATTTATTGAGATGCACCTGTATATGCATCTCTTAATTACATATTAATTTTTATTAATACATGAAAACTATGTTTTTTCAGACTAAGAGGGTTATTCAGCTTCAGATAAAGTTTTGGGAATCCTTAACAATGCAATCCCACATCTTCATCTAATTTTAGAGAATAAAAGCATGGCAGCAGTCTCAAAGACACACCTGAGGGGGGAAGGAGAGTTATCAGGGCATTAACTCACTGTAAACCCAGCAGACACACTGGCGATCTTACAGATTGAGATGACAGCCAAAACAGTGGGAGTTAAGATGCAGTGTTGGTGAAGTGTTTGGTGTTAACACAGAGATAGAGAGCGAGCGGTACCTGCTGTTAAACCTTTCTGGATGCTTCTCTCTCATAATGTGGAATCGATGAGCGATGGATGCATCCTGCAAAAGGAGAAAAAAAGCTAATCAGATCAGGTTTTTATGCACACCGATACACCATCATCGCTGTTTCGCAAGCTTCTGACAATGGTTCGTTAGGAGCCTTTGACGTACTACACTCGCACATCAGTCTCTCATCATCCTCTGTGCATCTGGGTCTTAAAATCTTGAGTTTGTCAAAACAGCTGTGTGAAGATGAAAAGACAACAGATTGAGGATTGTATTGAATAGTTTCATGATGGTTTTATCACGGACCATTAGCTATAAACAAAAGCCCCACAACAGAGACGTCGCAGACAGAGACGTGTTTATTTTAAAACCAGATGAATGTATTTTAAAACCAGACAAAACTCTGACGACAAAAACAAAATTCCTTCCCCCACACCGAGCTCCAATTACGGGACTGATCGCCCTTCCACACGACTGGAAACAAGTTTCAGCTCCATGCATATTTATGTGTGTTAACAGATTAGGTGTTTGCGATTCTTTGCTGGGGTTCTAGCCAACGATGATGAGTATTGACAAGAGGACTGAACACGTGGTTCAGGCTAATTAGTCGCACACACATACAGGATGCTGGCGCCTGTCACAGGTATTCTGACATCTGGGGTTAGAGGTTCAGATGCACTTGTGTGCGCTCTGTTTGCATGTGTTTTTTGTACTGTAAATGTTTTGTTGCTATGGTGATGTATAGAGATGGTGGTTGAAACGTAAAGTGACTATATGTCCTGATTGAGAAATGTAGATTCTGAAGGCCTGACCATTTGTAAGGACGAAGAGGAGAAGCATGACAAACATGACACTTTTATACACAATATAGAAGATATACATTCTTCATTCAGCAGAATTTCACAGATTGCCCCCATTATCAGCAAAAAAAAAAAAAAAAAACAGAAAAAAAAAAAAAAAAAAAGAAGAAGTAAATATCTGGCAACAAAACTAAATTTTTATAATTTGTTACAAGTTATTTTTGTGCTGACATATTATGAAGATGCTGCATATTCACAGAAAACAGCAACATGGCACAAAACTACTGGATCTATGATGAATACAGGCAAAAGTGGCACATTTTCAGATAATTAGTCTGTTACACAAAACCATTTAAAAAAGTACCAGTATTCTACCTATACATGTTTTATACTTTGTATTTTTGCTAAAAAGGCTTAAAAATGTCTCACCACATTCTCAAAAAAATTTAATAAAATTATATATATATATTTTCATGATCCCTCTTATTTTGATTTAATTCTTAACATTTTGCACATTCTGCATGGGGTATGTAAACTTATGAGCACAACTGTATATATATATATATATATATATACATATATATATATATATAATATTAAAAGTTTGGCTTCCAAGCTAATTTTGTGATAATACTTTTTTCTGCTAAGTAGAAGATGTGTAACAGTCAATCTTTTCTTTATTAGATAGTTAAAATGTATTTGATTTGTTTACATCAGTCAGGATCTAGGACTATAATTATTATATTGTTTGATTTAAAAAATAATTGTCTTTTATACCTATACCTTTTCAGGAATAAAACATGATTTTTAATACATGCCAATTCTGTTGCATCATCAAAGCAAATTTTAACAATGTTAATTTAGGATTATAGAAAGTATATAATTATTACTGATGACTAAAACAAAATGTAAAATAAAAAAATAAAAACTTTTAAAAAGTAATAAATAAAGTTGTCATTTCTCATTTTCATTTAGTTTAAGTTGAAGTACTAAACTAACTAAAACTAAACAAACTAAAACTTAAAACTATATAGACATTTAAAAAAAACTTAACAAAATTAATAAAACTTTAGAAGTAAAATGAAAAGAAAAATATACAAATAAAATCTAATTCTAAATATTAACAAAACAACAAAAGTACACTAAAATAGCACTGTATGGAGATCAAACGTTCGCAAAAAAATGTTCCACAAACAGGTCATTTCCACCTGACTAGGTATATTCGGAGGAAATAAAGTATGAGCGAACTTGGGTGTGCTCAAACAGAGATTAAAAAACCTGCTGAAACTTTCTTCTTCCTCCAGGAGGGCCTCCCTATCTTTTCCCCCAAGCCCCAAACACACTGTTAGGACCATTTGTGAATCCAGCCCCTCCAATGAAACCACCTCCACACAGAAGACCCCCTGCTAGCTCACCACTGAAAAAAGTCTAGTGTAAGCCAAAAAAATCAATTCCTTTACGGCTGACATCTTTTAAACCCGCTGTTAGTTGCAGAGCAAAGGGAGGCCCGGGGTCCCACCAGTCTTGGTTTTCTTCAACCAAGAACAAGAAGAAAGGTAAAATGACAGGTGTATCTAAAAGATTGTATTGCTCTTTTCTAACAAACTGCACAATAAATAAAAACATGAGAGCAAAGGCACAGTCTCCCCTCGGCCTGGCTCTGGTTTGATGCCCGGCACTGAAACCAAGGAGCTTTCAGAGACGTCATCGTATCCGGCATCCATGAGAGAGAGAGAGAGAGAGAGAGAGAGAGAGAGAGAGAGAGAGAGAGAGAGAGAGAGCAGATTTCCTTTCATTGACTCTAAAGTCAAAGTTGCAGCAGTCAGTCACTCGCTATCTTTCATCTGCCGTTGTCCACCCCTCCCCGATAATTACCACTGCAAAACTCTCGTGCCCAAATTAATAAAGGGACATGTGTAATGTTCTCTCATAGTTCACCATTTAGTCCAATTACGGCTTGTCCAGGCAGATGATGTGCCTTCAGCGGGAGAGTAATGACTTTGACATGAGCGCAGGGTCATTAGGAAACAGACTACATTATCTTAGGCGATCCTGTGTGATTAGGGACTGTCTCTAGCTTCTGGCTCTGACCGAAATGATAACACCCCCTGTCTAACGGAGAGGGATATTTCAACTTTGGTATTTAAATGGTACCTAATTACCCAAAATATCACTTGACAGGGTGATCAGTCAGTGAGACAAGCGTTAATATGAAGAACAGCTTTGATTTGAGAGGGTTTTTGTTGATGCGTTACATTGATGCGTTTTACCAATCTTGTTGGTCTTTGGATTTAAATTTGACTACATATTTTTTTTTTTTTTTTTTTTTTAAGTATTTTGTATTTTGCTGCATTTCTTCTAGGCTATTTATCAGCACTTGCTATGAGAAATAAATTTTTACTTCTTAAGTTTTCTTTTTGACAGGGTTTCTGCGGGTCTTAAACGGTCTTACTGTAAAAAGCCTTAAAACATCTTAACCTGGAGCAGAAAGTCTTAAATTCATTTAATGCCATTAAAGGTTAAATCCAATGTATTATTTTGTATTTTTGTCTTGTTTTCCAGTACAAATATCTAAACATCCTTCAATCAAGATACATACTTGAGATGCAAAATAAAGATTTTAAGATTTCTGAGAAATGTATCAAAATTAAGTGTTTATGCTTGAAACTAGAAAAAATATCTGCCAGTGGGATCAGAAAAATAAGTGTGTTTTTCCTAGACCTTATTGGCAGGTATTTGTTTTTGCTTTAGTCATAAACATACTTCATTTTGTTGAATTTCTTTGTGTTTGTTTCCATTTATTCCTTACATTTTCTTTAGTTGATCTTAAAAAAGTCTTAAATTTACCTTCACAAAAGCTGTGGAAACCATATCTTTTATACTGACAATCACTCTTACATGAAAAGGTGATATTTTAAGTTACAAATATGAGCAATGATGCATATTCTGAGTTCATGTTAAAAGTTGTTTAGAAGCTGTGATACAGATTTTTGATGTAAATGTCTTAAATTACCCCTTTCTGTTAAAATGTTCTTGCACCATCTTGTCTGGCAACAGCTGCATTTGTTGGCTGTTTAGTTCCTAGAGTTCATATACATAATTACGGAAGACATTGTTTTTCATTTGCATAATCTGCAAAGTAATTATGAGCACGACTTGCTCTGTAATCTCTATTGGTTTTCAGTTGTTTTCAAAAGGAATTTGTGTTTTCTTGTAAAATGTGATAGGGAAAATATCACTTGATCCCACTGTGATTTGCACTTTCAACACATTGAAAATTTAATTTAATTAACACAGTACTGAATATATTGCAGCTGAATAATTAATGAGACAGAGATCGATCTATTTATAAATCAATTTACAACATTTTTATCATTTTATAGCATGTATAAAAGTATGTATATATCTATATGGAATTAAAAAATGTAATTAAATGTAATTAAATTAAAAACCATTTTTTTATTATTAAAATGACCCCATTCAAAAGTTTACATACCCTTAAACCTAATACTATGTGTCATTTCCTGGATGATCCATGACTGTTTTTATATTTTGTGATAATTGTTCATGAGTCCCTTGTTTGTCCTGAGCAGTTCAACTGTGTGCTGTTCTTCAGAAAAATCCTCCAGTTCCTGCACATTCTTTGGTTTTCCAGCATCTTCTACATACTTGAACCCTTTCCAAAAGTGACTGTATGATTTTGAGATTCATATTTTCTCACTGAGGACAACCGAGAGACTCATACACAACTATTACAAAAGGTGAAAACATGTACTGATGCTCAAGAAGGCAACAGAATGCAATAAGAGCCAGGGGGATGTAAACTTTTGAACAGGATGGTGATGTGTAAATTCTTCTCATTTTGTTTAACGATCATATTTTTTCATTTAGTACTGAACTTCAGCCGTCTCTTAATGCATTGTGTGGCATTCTTGAGCATCAGTACTGTACATGTTTTCACCTTTTGTAATAGTTATGTCCTCAATTGTCCTTAGTGTTAAAAAATTGATTTTTAAAATCATACAGTCAATGTTGAAAAGGTTTCAAATATGTAGAAGATGCTGGAAAACCAAAGAATGTGCAGGAGCTGGAGGATTTTTCTGAAGAACAGCAGGCAGTTAAACTGCTCAGGACAAACAAGGGACTCATGAACAACTATCACAAAATATAAAAACAGTCGTGGATCATCCAGGAAATGACACATAGTATTAAGATTCAAGGGTATGTACATTTTTGAATGGGGTCATTTTTATAAATTCAGTTATTATTTTGTCTTGTGGAGTATATGTAAACATCTGTTATGTGAAATAGCTTATTCAGGACAGTACTAAATAAAAAATAACATGCAATTTTCATGATCCCTCTTACTTTGTTTTAATTCTTAACATTTTGCACATTCTGCAAGGGGTGTGTAAACTTATGAGCATAACTGTTTACACATACACATATATATATATTTGTCTATCTCTCCGTCTATCTATCAAAGAATTGTTTTATGTAAAGGTGAACATGGGACTGAATGTTTCATAAATTGAACCCTTTCCAAAAGTGACTGTATGATTTTGAGATTCATATTTTCTCACTGAGGACAACCGAGAGACTCATACACAACTATTACAAAAGGTGAAAACATGTACTGATGCTCAAGAAGGCAACAGAATGCAATAAGAGCCAGGGGGATGTAAACTTTTGAACAGGATGGTGATGTGTAAATTCTTCTCATTTTGTTTAACGATCATATTTTTTCATTTAGTACTGAACTTCAGCCGTCTCTTAATGCATTGTGTGGCATTCTTGAGCATCAGTACTGTACATGTTTTCACCTTTTGTAATAGTTATGTCCTCAATTGTCCTTAGTGTTAAAAAATTGATTTTTAAAATCATACAGTCAATGTTGAAAAGGTTTCAAATATGTAGAAGATGCTGGAAAACCAAAGAATGTGCAGGAGCTGGAGGATTTTTCTGAAGAACAGCAGGCAGTTAAACTGCTCAGGACAAACAAGGGACTCATGAACAACTATCACAAAATATAAAAACAGTCGTGGATCATCCAGGAAATGACACATAGTATTAAGATTCAAGGGTATGTACATTTTTGAATGGGGTCATTTTTATAAATTCAGTTATTATTTTGTCTTGTGGAGTATATGTAAACATCTGTTATGTGAAATAGCTTATTCAGGACAGTACTAAATAAAAAATAACATGCAATTTTCATGATCCCTCTTACTTTGTTTTAATTCTTAACATTTTGCACATTCTGCAAGGGGTGTGTAAACTTATGAGTATAACTGTTTACACATACACATATATATATATATATTTGTCTATCTCTCCGTCTATCTATCAAAGAATTGTTTTATGTAAAGGTGAACATGGGACTGAATGTTTCATAAATCAATACTTACAGCCATCAATTCCCTTATTAACAAGATGACATTGACTAACATTTGTCCAAGCATGTCTCCCTCATTACATTTTCTTTTTTTTAAGATGTGTACAAATCTAAAGTAAAACAGAGCCGTCAAACCTGTAAATGTCAATTACCATATTTCCCCTGACATTTCTGGATAATGGCTGACATGCGGGCACCGTAATAAGCATCATTAGATTTCAGACGGCCTGAGATGCATCAACACACGACGTGTTTGTTCGTCGTTCGGTAAGACGAGAGCCGTGTAACGTCTACGGCATATTTCATTGTCAATTGGCAAGCTTCGTTCCTCACCACAGTGATGAGGGACGGCTTTGTTAATGTAATAGATGCTCTTGGCATTTCAAAAAGCACTCAGCCCTCTTGATTAGCTCATTTAGTCTTATTACTTAGGGGCCTTATTCACTTCTTCATTCATAAACTCCACTCACAGTCATCACATACTGTATCACGGTTAATAGACCAGACTAGCACACCGGCCAGATGCGTATATGCGAGTCTCTCTGTTTATTGGGAGGGAAAGAGTGGAAGTATGTGGACTGTTAAGGAGCCTCAGAGGTCTCTACATGCAACTTTTATTGTTCAGACTCACCACGCCAATAGAGAAGTAATTGTTCACGATGCTATACGGGACTGGATCTCCTCTTTCATCTTTGTCTACAGGAGTGATGTCAATCTTCCACCTGTCCAACATCACTTCAGTACTGTTCTCAATGTCCTTGAGAATCTGCAAAAGACTTTCTCCGTCGTAGCCTGAAAGCCAAAGGACACATTACAAATTACTCCATTGAGGTGTTTCGGGTTTGGATTCTCCATAGCTCCAGCTATTTATAGACAAGGAACCGACGTTTTTGTAACATTTAGATCTTAAGTAGTTATGAATGAGTAAAAAAACTGTGAAAATACTACAGTTATAATATGTGATAAGTGTCCCAGCATGGCTCGCAGTGTGGATTTAGACTTTAGGATTCACACAAAATCTCATTTACAGCATCAAATTAAAATATTGAAATGACTTAAATTACCTCCACCCCAGCGCAGACACCTTGCGAGGTCATTTCCTGTGCCGAGAGGAAGTACACACACAGGGGGATTCTGTTCAAAGTTGGCTTTATCTAAGAAAAAGAACAGCACTTCAGAGAACAATAGGAACAACAGAACATCCCATGATTCCACTAAAGTTGCTTTGGCAGAGGGGAAAAATATAACTTGTTTTACCTTTGCTCCAGAAAATAAAGCAATAATAAATAAAAAGGGCTATTTATGGGAATTCAACTGTACTATACACAGTACATAGTTTATACAGAGTCAAAATCTTCTAATAGTGGAGCACAGGTTTAAAAAGTGATTTTTGTTTTCACCATTATTTACAACAGGATCTGCAATTTCATGGGTTTAAATAAAAGTTTTTTAAGAGACAATAAAAACTACTTTGTGCATCAAAACCACTCTTTTTTGACATCTCCAGCACGTTTCATAATAACCAAAAATCAAACCATTTACACAGAACATTAGAACTAAAATCTACATCATTTGAATATAAAAACATTGATGTCTGTCAAAAAATAACATGCACAATAGTATTCGTATTATATAGTAATAGTAATTTTTTTGGAAAACCCACAATACTACATCATTGGTGTCTAAGAAGAAGAAGAAGAAGAAGAAGAACAGGCTGTCTGTCAGAGACAGTAATGTACGTAACACTTAAGTATAAATTTGTACTTCTCTCACTGAAATTAACACGTTGTTTAAAAGATTAAAAAGTCAATGATCAAAGTTTAATAAAGTGATGTTTAATTTTCAAATAAAAGATGATACATTTTTACGATTTGTTACATTTAATTACCTCTTTGCTGATTTTGAGCATACACATATAGACCCATACAGACTACAGTACATATGTATGTACACATTTACTGTATAATGAAATAAATGGCAATGTCAAAACTACAGTGGTTCTTTTCTAATACACTCCTCTGAAAGCATCCAGTCAATTACTCTGCCTTTGTTTTGATTGATAAAAAATGGAGGCAATTTTTGACACAAATAAAGGACTAAATGAGGACACAGTCATCTAAAAAAATCACCTGCAGAGACTATTCTTCAGATGATATAAATAATATGCCATTTCTTGAAGAAAGATAATCATCCTATTTGCCCCGAAAATACAGGTACGAATGTAATAGCTTTAGTTCTGTGAAAAATAAGCATTTGACTATTTCGACAAATATAACAAAATCACTTCTGTTCAAAAGAACCTCTGAAACAACCAGAAAAGCCTTTTTCGCAATATTTCCTCAAGATGTCTTTATGTTATGAAGTTTACTTTAGCTTGTTGTTTTTATTAAATCCAGAATGAAAACTTCTTGGATTTAATTTACAACATGGCACAGTATGGAAGCCCTGATCCACATGACTCAAGCTTTTAATTGCTCTAAGAAATGACTCAGTCAACAAGAGGCCAAAGCAAACAAGCAAGCACTATGTGGGCATCATACAACTGTGTTTCTGTTTTCATCTGAACTCACCTATAACATCAAGAATCCATCCAACGGTACCATCTCCACCACAGGCCAGGACTCTGAAATCTGGAACATCTCGAAAGAAATTTAAGCTGAAATGAAGAGCATCAGAATTACTAAGATGCCAAGTGTTAGAAAAGCAATATAACCATACTTTACTTTTATACTTCTACAACTATTAAATACTGTATATGCATGTATTTAATGAAAGATAACGAAGATTTATTAGACAATGCACATAAAAAATAGTCCAATAGTGAAATCTTTTTCACTGTATTGGATTATGAATTAATCTTTTGTTTAAATAACAAATGCAAATCCATCTTTTGGAAAGCCAAGCCTGTTCAGAAGCTAATCAAATCTATCAAGACAATGTTCATTGCAGCGTCTTCCGTTCCTTCACAATAATAAAGCTCTAACTGCATGAAGGGACCTTACATGGTAGAATGGCGCACAAAATAAGACTCTTAATTACTTTACTTATTGGGACATGCAGGCTTGGCAAATCATATTAGATAGCAAAAACAGATGACCAATCACATGAAAAAGCAACTTTGAGGATGTTTGAGTATGAAGAAACAAACACTCAGTTTGCTCTAATTGTGTTAGCAGGGTCTATAATTGACAGACAGCCCAGAGCTACGGCTGACAGTCACCTCGACAAAGCAATGTCACATTATCATCACATGACTACGCCAAGCTCGTGTGTTATTTCAACAGATGTGACTGTGAATGCATAAAGTCAAAAGCTATCTTTTCCACCAGCAAGGAAACATCAATACTTATAGGCTACACCTTACTTCAAACGCTATAATCAATAGGTTCAAAAGCAAATTGGCTGACAAGCTCTAAATGGTGTCTGGAGAGCATCGCTCAGTGGGCTGCATTTATAAAATCATAAAAATCTGGGAAAAAAAATAATCAAATGCCAAGAGCAACAGAAATCACCCCATTTATTTATGCATGTATGTTATGTATTTATTTATTTATTGAAAAAAAAAAAGGTTCTTTTGCTCACCAAGGCTGCATTTATTTGATCAAAAATACAATAAAAACAGTAATATTGTGAAATATTACTACAATTTAAAATAAAAGTTTTCCCAATTTGAATCAAAACCTACAGTGAATGGAATCAAATCACTGTCTACCCAAATATTCACACCCAATAACATTTCTGTTTTCTTTACTGCTCTTTGAAATTCCATTTTCAAAATATAGTCTCATTGAATATTGTCACAATCCTCACGGCTATACACTTAACTCAAAAGTGACCACGTAGCTGGCATACTAATAACAAAATCAGTCAGTGATCACAGAGCCTCATGGTTGCGTGTATTTGATTGACACCAGCGATGGTATGCGTGATCACACAAGGCCCTGAGAGCGGCAACACACTATCACTAACATGAATCTATTATTACCAGCTGACTGTCAGCACTGGAGACTTCCACAGCCTGGCTTTGTTCTCCGCAGTGTTTGTGATGGCGGATCTAACCCTTTAATAATGTCTACATTTACAGCTAAGATGCAGAGCGACATTGTCATGCATGAACTAGTGCACTTTATTATCAAGCAGTGTCTGCATATACAATGTATGGTTAACGTGGAGTTGTCAGAACTCTTATGATCATAAAGCGAGAATGTGGCACAACAATACGTTTCAGCAGGGCGCTAAATGCTTCTGTTAGAATGATAAGAGAAAAGCCTCTCTGGAGTGTCTGGAGAACTGTCACTCACCCAGGCATGGGGCCGTTCTTGGCCAGGTTGTAGACTTGACGGGGGTTCAGGAGGTACTGGAACTTTCGGAAGATTCTAGATAGGGCAGAATTTATAAATAAAAATGTAAGAAATTATAATTAAAAAAATCAATCGATAAAAGTACATTCTCAAAGCATGACTATATTTTATTTAAATAGTTTTGTTTCTTCTTGTTTTTATCACCAATGTACATTATGGTGTTTTTAGACATTTTCTGTCAATATTTAGTTAATGTTTACTGCATTATTTTAGTGTCATGTCACATGTGTTACCCTGATAGTATTTTGTTTTTGTGTGTATGATCCTGTGCAATGTTTCAAGGACAGGCCACTTACTGTATGATGAACTCTGATTTATCATGTGGCTATTTTACCACCTGTAGTATTATTATGGTGGTTATAAGTACAGGTATAAAGATTTTGGTCATTCAAGTATTTTTGAAGTATTTTGGGAGTTCATTGGTATATTAAGTTAAAAAGACAGTTTTAAGGCACCAATATTCCATTCATAATATTTTCACCATATTTTTACAATGAATTTCTGGCAATACAGATGTAATTTTTGTTCATAAATTTAACAGGATATATTTTACAGTGATTTTTTAAATAATAGATGGATGTGGTTGGATGAATTCGTAATAGAAACTAAGGATTTTGTCATTAATATTAGCTATTACAAGACATTAGCTAGTCAAGAAATACTGGTGATCATGGCCATCTCATCCAATATTGTCCATGAAGAGGAACTGAAATCTGATATGGATCTTTAGGATGCCAAAAATGAATTTAAAATTGCAACTGATTTGATTAGATCCTCATTTAGGTTGCCAGAAATGGATGTGAAACTGTAATTGTAACTCAGAGAAGTTTCATCAACAACCTCGAACACATTCAGTGCATTGCTAATTTGACTGCAACTGGTATGCAGTGGTGTCAAACAAACTGTAGCAATGGATAAATTATGCAGATAGACTGAAAGACAGTTAAAATGCTATATGAAAATACTGAAGTGTAACTTTCTTATTAAAATCTGACACCATCTTTCACAGTTCTCACCTTTCCCCTTGTTTGCCTCCACTTTTAGGGTTGACGAAAACCAACAACGGATGAGTTCCTTCTAATGGCGTAATCTATAGATTAAAATGATAAAAAGCATTATTATATATCCTAATCTAGTAACATTTAGCATTTAAATCAGCTTTTATGCTTCATGATCCAAATTTTGTTGTTTAGAGCAGAAAACATCCTTAAATTCACAAATTTACATTTAGTAATGACATGCATCTCAGAAAATACGCAAAAAATTTTTATACTTTGACAGATAATTTACTTAAAAGGGTCATATGATGCGATTTTAATTTTTCCCTTCTCTTTGGAGTGTTACAAGCTCTTTGTGCATAAAGAAGATCTGTAAAGTTGCAAAGACTAAAGTCTCAACTCCAAAGAGATATTCTTTATATCAACCACGCCTACCTAAAACGGCTCATTCTTACACGCCCCCACATGTCTACATCACTATGTGGGAAGATTTGCATAACGCCGCCCAAATGTTCACGCAAAGAAAGAAGGCGTAACTTTTATTCTCGCTGTAGTATTGTTGCTGCCGCCATGTCGTGAAGACGCTGTGTGTTTCGTTGTGAAAGCGAAACTACTTTGTTTGGCCTTCCAAAAGAGGACGATATCCGCTTCGTCATGCCTGGAGCTGATCCGTGCTGGTCGCTGAGGAAATACATCAACTTCGCACTATGGATCGCCGGATCGGTTTTCACCGTGGACGAAGCGGAGTCCAGCCCGGGGTCGTCACATGTGGTTATAAAGACATTATAATCCGTAATTATGTCCCCTCTGGATGCAACAAATGCCTAGTTTATAATGGGTTTTGATGTTTTTGAATCGTCGCTCCAGGTCATCACAGTATGGTAGGGGCATAAGAGGTATTCGGCCAATCACAACGCACTGGATAGCTGGCCAATCACAGCACACCTCGCTTTTCAGACCGATGAGCTTTGTAAAAATCGACGAGCAACAATAATGTACAGTATGTGGAAAATAATGCGTTTTTTTTACTTTAAACCGCATAAACACATTTCATTACACCAAATAATGTTCTTTTTAGCAACATCATATGACCCCTTTAAGATTTTCTTCACCACCTGAACCTTAATTTTCAGTCAGCAATGTGATAATTCTCTATCCATTCTCTCATAATTATAAAAAAGAGTTTAGCATCACATTGACGTTAATCGAGTCTGCTCAAAAAGATCTCAGAATAACTCTTCAGTACAAAAAGTCTATGATGCACTACCCATGTAAAACCCACGTCATGAGACGCAACGGGCAAACCTCAGTAATCAGCTCCATATTTAGTCATTAATGACAGTCTTTGACCATGAGTCACTTTTCTGCATGGATGCATGATGATTGTGGGGTTTTAGAGCGGACGACACACGCACAAACTAATCCAGAGAGTGTGAGTCGTCTTCCGGTGGACAGTGACACAGATGAAGCGCTTAAAACAGGACCCATCGAAACAATCCCAGCAGGCCCAGGTGAATTAATGAGCCGCCCGTCCAGTGACGAGTGATCCATTACTTCCTCTAATTATAAATAATAATCCTGATTATTACACTGGTTAGCCGCCGCCAGCCGAGATGGATGACCCAGGACATGATTCGTCTTTTTTCGTTCTGTCATTACTATGCTCAGACAACACCCAATCACAGTGGGTCACTGCTGCCTAGAAGTGTGATCTTGAGATACAATTGTAATTTTGAGCAAAACTTAGTTGATGACTCACCAGGAAGTTAATTGTTAACATTATGTTAATAGATTTTTTTATTTGTATACTTATATTTTAGTTTAATTAGGAATGAACAATGCAGATTATATCATATTATATAAGTTATTTTAAACTTTATATTTGTTTCAGTCAATACTGGATATACTGTTAAATGTGATTATTAGAAAATATGTTTTATACTGTATATCATAATGTTGTAATGCCTAGATTCACTTGTAGCATTTAAAACAATTATTTTAGCTGTTAGTGTTTATTTTTTATTAATGCATTTTTGTGTTTTTCATAATTTTTTCAAACGGATTTATTTAGACAAAAATGCAGAATTTAAATATAAGCTTTTATACAGTAGGACATCAACCTTATTAAATAATTACAAATAATTAATAACGCATAATACATAGCTAAATACATAGAATAAATAGCATGCCTTTTATTAACATATTAGCTGTTTATTAGTAGTACTGTATAAAGTCTAATAAATTCTGCATGACCATATTCTACATCCCTAATCCTACCCAGAACCTAAATGTAACAACTACCTTATTAATTATTAATAAGCAGCAAATTAGGAGTTTATTGAGGTTGTAGTTAAATGTTTGTTAATAGAGAGAACTGGACCTTAAAATAAAGTGTGACCAAAAATTTATATCAGTGCATCTCTAGTTAAAATGTAATTTTAAATCACCTTTTTGTCTACACTAGTTAATTGAAATGGTGTATGAAGAAATTCTAAAAGACCACATATTCCATACTGTCCCTAATTTATATGAGATTATCATAAAAGATGCATGCATGAAAAACATAAAAATAGCTAAGTCAGCTTCCCAGATGTATTTCATATCAATCATGTATTTTGCCTGATAGCATTAGGGGCTATTAGATTCACTAAAGCACTGTGTTATTTTGTTTGATTCCATCTGCAGGAAATGTACCCCTGGGACTTCCTGTTTTTAACAATATCCGACTATTAGTGTGTGTCATTCACCTGTAGCCCCTGTCCATCCACTGATACTGAATCGGTCCTTTGTATTTTCCCCCGACCTCCTGATTGGCTGGAGTCTTTTCTCAGAGTGGACTGTCTCTCCTGCAGTTAAAGGTCACAAGTAAAGGTCTAAAAGAGCTGAGTCCCAAAATAACGTACAAAAAGAAATATGACATATTACCAGTACAACAGGGCATATTGTGTTTGGAGGAAGTATGTGATCTCTCAGTGGTCCGCAGTCACATTCGGGTTTGACGTGTGAAGCGCACTTGTTGTGTAGCTGCAAGACAGAGCTTTAAAACTTTAAAACAAAACAGATAATTCAGCAATACTATTTACATACAGACTGATGTCATGCAAATAAATTTATTACAAATGTAAATGAACACCTACAAAATTAAATTGTGTGCAAACTGCAGTGTACTTGTGGCAAACTAATACCTTTTATAATTAATAATTGGATTAAATGCATACAATTCAATATTCACACATGTTCAGAGCATAAAAACGGTAAATATGAATACTCATAAACTCACAGTAATCTGGCACCAGACACAGTGAAGGCCCGTAAGACCCTGGTAACACTTGATAGTTTTGTGACACTTATCGCACTTGCTTGGACAGTTTCCCTCAACCCAGAAATGATGCATAATCTATTAAAAAAAGCTTTTGTTAATATGCAAAAATGCAAATAAATGCATATAAAGAGAAAGAGAGAGAGAGGAAGAAAGAATATACAGGCATATCACAAATGAGCATAGGCTTTTATTACGACTCATCATTGGTGTATTCAGGTCTCTGTTTAAACCAGGTTAATCATGTAATTAGCAATGCTTAGAAAGAGAATTTCTTTCTAATTTCATTAGCTGAAAAGAAGCCCTTGCTCTAAGCCCCATGAAGCATTGGTGATCCAAGCGTGCTGGTTTTTAAACACTACAATTCGACGCACCTCTGTGTTTTTCTTAGATTTGACATATGTTTTGATGCAGGACAGGGGGGCTCGAGCCACACATCTCTCGTGAACGGTGTATTTACAGACTATAAAACAGACACACCGAAAATTAATTCACAGTGTAAAGTATCAATTTTTATCATTTTTAAGACTTTAACATGCATTTTCATTAAATGTATTATTATTACAATGTCTACAATTGTTTTTTAATGTCAATTAATTAGATTGCAGATGTATTAATACAATCATTTTTAGCTTAAAAAACAATAATAATAAAATAAAAATATTTTTAATAATAATAAAATAAAAAACAGACAGTCTTATTGTGACTTTGCAACCATGCAACAATGTCACTGTTTGAAGATTATATATTTAATACACTAGCTTACTTATATTCCAAATGAAATTGATTAGGTGGTTTTGATTTGCATTTGTCCATATTCACTTATAGCATAAAGCAAAAAATCATATGTGAACAGAAATGACTGATGGTTAATATAATAAATGCTGTGAGTTCTGGTGCTGGACTTACAGGAGCAGCAGAGGCCTTGCTTTCCCAATCCAATCAACATATTCAGACACAGGTTACAATATGCAGGTTTACTGAAGTGCTTAAGTCTCCACACGTGTTGCCCGTCATCCTTTACATTCTGCAAAACAGAGAGAGTGAAAAAGACAAAGATAATAGCGAGAGAATGAGAGGAAGACAGCTATGAGGACTTGACAAGGATAATACAACTATGACAACTGTGATGAAAAACATTACAGCAAATTACATAAAGGGTATTCTGGAATCCTGCTGAGACAATGCAGAATTTGAAAGGAAAGGAAAATGTTTTGAAAAATGTCGAATCTGCATCTTTAACAATCTGGATGACATGCAAAATAAATCAGGCACCAGACCACTAGTGCAGCCAAAAAGGCATTTAAAATTAGTCGAGGACTCCATCTAGTGGGCAAATAAGTGAAGTGACATGTGGCCAAGTATGGTGACCCATACTCGGAATTAGTGCTCTGCATTTACCCATCCAAAGTGCACACACACAGCAGTGAACACACACAAACCGTGAACACACACCCGGAGCAGTGGGCAGCCCTTTATGCTGCGGTGCCCGGGGAGCAGTTGGGGATTCGGTGCCTTGCTCAAGGGCACCTTGTCGTGGTATTGAAGGTGGGAGAGAGCGCTGTACATTCACTCCCCCCACCTACAATCCCTGCCGGTACGAGACTCGAACCCACAACCTTTGGGTTATGAGTCCGACTCTCTAACCATTAGGCCACAACTTCCCCCCCCTTCTTGTAAATAGAGAGTAACATCTCAATTTATCAACAATGATGCACTGTATCTGTTCGTTTGGTTTGGATGAATGTTTAGATGGACAGACAGATGGACAAGATTGAAAAATGAACACATCGGACAAACATATATAGATAAGTTAAGCTTAATTGATAATCACAGTTTCAAGTCCTAGAAGTACTAGCAGAGGAATGGTGGTCAGACCACCCTGGACCCACTCTTCAAGCGAAACCATCCCGTCACGGTCATAGTCGATCTCCTGCATCATCTCCTCCAGAATCTGCACCCCAAAACCAATGATGTTAGACATGTTAATTATTAGAAAGATATGATCAAATCTGGCACACACACACTGTCTGGCCACGGTCAAATTCAAGTTTATTTTACCGGCTTCAGTTCTGCGACGTCCCACTCCAGATACTCCGCAACATGCATCATCTGAGAGATAATGTGCTCCAGTTCCTGTTCGAGAGGAGAAGACATTTTCTGCACAACATCACTGTAACTCTGCACAGAGATCTAGTGGTGGGATCCTGAATCCTGCTACATCTACCTTCTTGTAAAAAGTTTACTTCCATCTCAGTCAAAACACCTGAAACACGTAATCGAGGTAATCAAGTTACAGATTATTTATTTCTTCTACTTGTAACATATACACATATAAACGCGTATACATGTATTTAAAAACATTTACACATATAAATGTGTCTGTGTGTGCTATGAGCATATATTATATAATGATAAAGAGGAGAACATTTTACAGTAAAACACGTATTTATATTTATTTTATACTTTATATAGAATTACATATAAGTAATTCATCTACTTCAAAATGTCATGCTCAGTTCAGTGTTACTTGCCAATTTTACTTGCAATTCTTTGTAAAGTTTCTAGAAATTTCCTAGCAATTTCTACCAATTTTTTTACACTTTTAATTGTATATATGTGTATACATTTTTAATTATAATTTTGTTTATCTTGAGAAATCTCATATTGAGTCTGTCCTTTTTATCTCTTTTTTTTTTATTTACGAAAAGCATCTATAAAACTAAAAATTACAGACAAGTCTTTTAAACAAACTTACTGTAACAGAGAAGAGCGAAATTAGTAAATGCAACCAATCCAGCAATGAACCACTAGATGACGTTTGAAGTTATTACAACAATAATAAACCGAAGAGACTGCTGGAAATTAAGATGAAGGTCTCACCTTACTGTCTAAAAACCCGTTCCCATCTGTGTCATAAAGTCGAAACATAACTGCGACAGAAACAAAGAAAGATAAAGAAAGGCTGAAAAAGAGAAAACACTGCAGATTCAATACAAGGATAATTTCTGCATCTAAAAGGGTAACCTGCTAGGAAAATGGCTCTGTATTCTCAAAAAAAAAAAAAACATATCTATGGAAAGAATCTCACAATTCAGAGTGCAATCTCAGCTTTTCTATGAGGCATTATAAGTGGCCGTCGCCATGGAAACCAGCAGATAAGCCAAAGGCAGCATCTCTCAAGAAGACAATTCAATCAAGCTCAGTGCAATTCAATCTGAACTAGCCCATCACTGATGTTTTTCATTCAAACAGTTTGTTCTTTCTTGCATAATAGCATCTCAGTGGCAGTATTAGACCTTAGCAAGAGGTTATTAGTATCCGAGCAGCCCATAGCAACAGGTTTCCTGGAATTACAACCAGAAAACCATTATAGATGTGACAAAAGCTGCCAGTAGATGTCAGCACCGCCTTGTGTTTTCTCTATGAAAACCATTAATTGAACCAAAAGGTAGCTTCTTCAACACCATAAAGGACTCATAAGTGTATTTTGAATAAAGCTAGTAAATTAGTAGGAAAGGTACTGCATGGTAAGTGATCTTACATTCTAGTTTGTCTTCTGGTCGTCCGCCCTCCAGCAGAGAGAGGTAGCAGATCATATCCTTCAGCTGGACTGAACCGAGAGCTTTGGACGGGGATGATACCTTTGGCGGCGTGGAGCTTCCCTTTATGAGTTTTAGACCTTGTAAACCACAAGTAAATTATGTTTAACACATCACTTTTTCTGGTGTGTTTTGGCTAGAAATCACTGGGAAAAAATTAAGAGATTGAATCACTCTATTGTTACACTAGCTGTTTTCCTGGTGGAGCTTTGGGAAATAATGTTGCAAGTTTATTGTTTTTATGACAAAGTTATACAATTAAAACCGAATAACAGGAATAAACAGAATATATTTGCTTTGTGTGCATATATGTGGCCAACATTACTGGAACACACTGTACACTACCAGCTTCAGTAAGATTTTTTTTAATGCTTTTGAAGAAAGATGATCAACAGGGCTGCAAAAACACATTAAAACAGTACTATTGTGAAATGTTATTACAATGTAAAATCTATTTTAAAATGTAATTTATAGCAAAGCTTAATTTTCAACAGCCATTACCCCAGTCTTCAGTATCATCACATGATCCTACAGAAATCACTCTAATATCCTGATTATTATCAAACATTTAATATTTTTTGTGGACTGATACATTTTTTCAGGGTTCTCTGATGAACAGAAATTCCAAATAATAGTATTTATTTGAAATCAAAATATTTTGTAGCATTATAAATGTCTGTACTGTCACTTATGCATATTTTCTGAATAAAAGTATTATATTCTTTAAAAAAAAAAAACGTTTTAATTGTAGTGTTAACTGACTTTACAAATGTTTTCTCTACACTAAAGTAGTTTAGTAGTGGTTTCTTGATTAGATATTACAGTAAGTTTGTTCAGCCTGTGTGAATGGGCAGATTTAAATTACCCATGATTCTCTGCTTGTCTGTCATGGAGGGGCTTGGCTTGGGGTCTTTGTTGCAGAAACTGAGGAAGAGATGCTGGCAGAACTCATCAGCAAGTTCACTCTCCAGGAAGGTCTCCATGAAGAGCTTGAAACCCTCGTAGTCAATTTCCTGCTGAAGGTGATTCACCCTGTTACTCGGTTAATATTTCATACTGACCAAATAACTGTGCAGCCAGGCTGTAAAACCATAAAATGACAATTTACCTGATTGAGTATTTCTGGCTTCTATGCAGCACAAAACGACAAGTAAAAGCATCTTCAGTAAATGGATGGCAAGCAATTATGGAAACTGAAATGATTTCATCACCCAAAAGAAACATCATATAGTTTAATGGCTCTAATAACCACTGAAATTAGATCATCATCATAACATTCGGTCCAGTACAGCATTCTTAGCTCAGCATGAACATTGCAAAATAGTGTGCTTCAAAAGGCCATAAAGAGTTGCGATACCTCTTCAGGATTATACTTGGCCAGAATCCCGTCTCCATGAAACTCCTGGAGAACATCTTTTAGTTTCTTAGTTGTGTCTGCAACAAATGGGTAAAACAAAAGGAAGATACTGTAATAGTTGAGACAGCTTAAGAAACTTAAATAAATCTAGCTCAGACATTTAATGGTCAATGACGTGTTGATGTTGTGAAAAAACATTAAAAATGCATCTCAGACAGACAATGACCTGTCATATTCATATTCATGTTTTTGTGAAAAGTATTAAGATATTTCTTTGGACATGGCAAGGTTACATTACTGTTAAAAGTACGATTTTTATGTTTTTGAAAGAAGTCTTAGCTCACCAAGGCTATTTGATTAAAATACAGTAAAAACAGCAATATATTGAAATATTAACTTCTTGTCTGTTTTAATATATTAATATCTAGTCTTCAGTGTCACATGATTCTTCAGAAACCATTCTAATATGATTTGGCGCTCAAGAATCATATCAATGTTGAAAACAGTGCTGCTTAATATTTGAAATTATTTTATTAAATTGCTATTTTATTAATCAAAAAAAAAATTTTTATTTTGAGCGAAAAGGAAAAATCTTTTAAAGTTCTCAAATGTAATCTTTGTGATACATTGATGAAAAATGTTTGTCCCAACTTCATAGTCGCTCAAGTCCTTATTCGTCAATGGCCATGAGAATTATTTAAAAGACAGATTTTGAAAAAACAAATTACTATGCCATTAAGTTTTGTTTTAGCTCCACGTGTTCTCCCTCTGCACAGATTTACCAGAGTGTATCTTTCAGTAGATCATATAATCTCTATCAGGAGTCCAATGATATTAGAGCTCAACACTTTCAAACTGTGAGACTTTCAGTGGCAGAGATTTTTCCTCTCCCTCCTTCCTCTTCACTAATGACCCATATTGTCATACTGCATGCTAGCCAATCAGAACGAGAGAAGCACTGGCCTGGCACAGGAAACAGCGGGCTCTGGGGGTATCAATTATTCAGATTACTCAATTAAATGCAGACAACCTCTGTTCTCTACATACGTAATGAAAGCTCCTCTCGTTGACAGCTGATTTGTTATGTACGAATGGGTAATCAAAACGGCACAAATCTGTATCTTAATTTTTATGTGGTTGGTTTTTGAATTGGTGTGTAATCGAATCCTTTATTATTATTATGTCAAGCAGATTATTGATCAAATAATAATTTTATCTATTTATCTTAATGGTAAATGTAAAAAAATTGTCTACTTTGACAGCAAACACTGGGCTTTTCTAACCGTTTCCTCAAAAAAGAGATTATAGATGACACTTCATTCAGACTGACTCCCACTGCAGCATTAGCACTCAAAGGAATCAACGTTCATCGTGGATTGATTATGTATTTAGGGGAATTAATAACTGTCAGTCAGAATTTTCTCTCCCCTCATAGTCTGGTGCCGATTGGATTAGATCGAAGTCTTAACCTTAAGCTCCAGACAGGAAATGACATTTCCTTAAGTGACACACGCACAAATGCTGTTAAATGGTTCGATTTTTATTCCAGTGAAATGGCAACATGTCAGCATGTCTCCGCAAGGATATTTAGTGGCTGGAAGATGCTCTACGGATCGAATAAACCATGATTTGAAACTGTATTATTTGGCACTTCCATCTCAGGAAACATTAAATGGTTCGATTTTTATTCCAGTGAAATGGCAACATGTCAGCATGTCTCCGCAAGGATATTTAGTGGCTGGAAGATGCTCTACAGATCGAATAAACCATGATTTGAAACTGTATTATTTGGCACTTCCATCTCAGGAAACATATAACTGAATTGAAGCATAACTTATGGATTGATAAACAAACATTGGGCAAATATGGAAGAATGACAGAATAAAAGCCTTACATTGTGCATAGTCTTGAAGAAGAGAGAATTCATTTGGACTCAAAGTGACCCATTTTTCCTCATTCGACATGCTGTCCAGTGTTTATCTGCCTCTGTTTACATACATAAGATCCAGCAGCTCAGCCTCTGTGGAGAGAATGAAAAAACTGTCAATCACCTTGTAAATCTGACAAAACTCATCTTGTGTGATATAGTCTAGCTTTATTTCTCATTCATGTACAGTATATGTGTAAAGCCGTGTTTTTGCGATTCTGTACTTAGTTTCGGTTATTACAGAACAACAAGAAAAGTAGCTATCTGTGTCACATGCCATCAAATATTTGAATGTGCAACATCATGCCAGTCAATACTGAAGTTAACGTTTGACTTGACCTCACTGACTGGCACTGATTGATGTGATGCCCTGCTTTGTACTGTACAAAGCATGACTGGGTCCTCAAAGTATGAGAACACTACCATTCAAAAGTTTAGAATCAGAAAAAAAAAAAGATCTTATGCTCACCAAGGCTGCATTTATTTCATCAAACATACAGCAACAACAGTAATATTGTGTCATATGTTTACTGTTTAAAATAGGGTTTCTACGTTAATATTTTAAAATATTTTAAAATGTAATTTATTGATGGTAAAGCTGAATTTTCAGCAGTCATTACTCCAGTCCTCAGTGTCACATGATCCTTCAGAAATCATTTTAATACAGTATATGCTAACATGCTGATTTGGTGTTATGTGAAAATCTGGAGAAAATATGATCAATGTTGAAAACTGATCATTTTTTAACAGGATTATTTGATGAAATGTGTCCTTACTGAATAAATGTATTAATTAATAAAACGTACTAACCCTAAACTTTTGAATGGTAGTGTACATAAAAAAAATAAAAAAATTAAAAATCCAATTACAGTATCAGCCACATTTTTAGCTTAACATCCAGATATTTTTGAGTTATTCAAGATAATATCGAATAAAAGAAAATACCAAGTTATGAGTGAGATATGAGTGGAATTAATAACTGGTATTTTGAGAAGGCAATGTAGATTCCAAATTGATAATCTATTAGGAGAGCAAATATACAGTTGCAGTTCTACACCGATAAACTGATCATTATTTTCATATTACAGCCAATAACAGATAAATGGCCAATATTAAAATTCAATACTATTTTGTATAAATAAAATTAAAATAATACTCTAAAAAAGTAAAAACAACCATTTTATGTGTGGATTTAGACATTATAATATAGAAGTATGAAAAATTAAAATTCATTTTAAACTTTGCTAAATCTGCATTTAATAAGTTATTACTGATCATAATGATTAACTTTAAAATTAGTTAGATGATGGCAAAGACAATCTAGATGTAAAAATACAGCAAACAATATTGTACAATTATTAAAATACAATAAAAATATTGTAAAAATCCAATATCGATTGATGCGGAGACATTTAAAAAACTCTAATATTAGCCGATAACCAATATGGTACTAATATATCACACAACCCTTATATCTATAGTTTCTAAATTAAAGCTAGCAAATTTTTTTTAAAGAAACCATATCTGACTGATCTGACCAGTTTCACCTGATTTTGCAACAAATATTGCAGTTAAACTATGATTAGGCCTACTGTGCCAAAACATTCATACATTTTCATAAAAAATGATGATTGTCACCGAAAGGAAGAATCTGAAATAAAATTAGCTTATGAGCTCATCCATTTCTGAAGTATTCTACAATGCTCACTACTTAAGGAAAACTCTGCAACTCAATTCCACATCCTGTCAAGCCTTTGAACTTCCTGCGACAAGAGCAGGAAGTGCCTGAGGCAAGTGTCTTTTCTGAAAGATAATCTGCATTTATGAATAAAAGTGCTTGCCATGTCAAGAACCCAAAACAAACTCTTCTCAGCGTTACCTCAAGGCTACGAAAAATGGATGATCTTGGCCTCGTCTTGACCTTAACCTACATTCAAAATGACTTTTACTCACAGCTCACCGTTAAAATACCCACAACTTAAGCTCACAAACTGACACATTATGTGTTACATGAGCATAAGCATACGAAACATCAAAAACAGCAGTGTTTGTTCAACCCCGTCACCACTGGTCTGCAATACAGCATAATGCAAATACAGTCAAGAGCTCCATCATGTTGTCACTGGTAACGGATTGAACACAGTTCCCTCTTTCACACAAACACAAGTGCAAAACGGAGTTCCACTCACCTGACGCCTCTCAAAGCCAACAGCAGCGATCCAACAGGCATGTTATGTGTTTTCCTGCATCGTCTGCCAGCATCTCTCTCTCTTCTAACAGAGCCACTGTGTTTGTATCTATGGGAAAATGAGTGTGAGAGAGGAGCGCTGGAGAGAGGGAGAGCGATCTACTCATCTGCAACAATCAGTTCTCGTGCCTCTGCTCGCATCACACACACAAACACACTCTCCCCCTCCCTTCCTTTTTTTCCCCTTCATCTCTCCATCTTGCCATTTAGCAGGCAGTGGATCTAGGATGTGATATTGGTAGGATGCAGTCTATTGAGGGGGAGTCAGGGTAGAAGATGTCTATCTTTTCGGACTTACTGTAGAGACTCCTACCAGTCTCAACCAACTTCTCATCATCAAATGAAGCTAAACTAGAGTTGTTTCACAATTAACATCCTTTTTCATGTTCTGGGTTTATTGTGCTACTTTGCTGTCTGACAGAAAGTGTTCAACATCTGTTTATTAATGAATCAATCAAAATAAGTAAATTAATAAATAAATAAATCTGCAGAACAAATTATTTATAAATTTGGATAATTTTTCTTTTATATATATATATATATATATATATATATATATATATATATATATATATATATATATATATATATATATTTTTTT